TACATACTTACATATATATATATGTGTGTATATATATATATATATAATGTATGGCTTTGGGATAAGATAGACACGAGCTGTGTGTGTGTGTGTGTGTGTGTGTGTGTGTGTGTGTATAAGGAACACTTTCCCATGTCAATATATATTCTCTTTGAATAAGACTAAGATTTTATTACCAGGTCAACAATATATGCATATTTATATATTCTCTATATAAGTATATAACATGTAAAATATATATTACACATTATATATATTTTAGAATTGAAATGCCTCAAAAATCTCATACAATGTGTTTATCTTATAGAGAAAAAACCAAAGCTCAAAATGACTTAATCGAGGTCTCACCAATTATTAGCACGGCTAGTGCTAAGGGATGTATTTTCCACTTTTAGCTTACAGTTCAAAAGCACACAGGAAATAGGTCTTTCTTAACCACACAAAAAGAAGTAAATGTGAGGTGACTATTATATACATATATGCGTGAAACATGCATGTTCTGATCTGGGCCACACAACTAAAGAAACGTGAAGAATTTGGAAAGGATTTAGAGGAGAGTGCCAGGGCAATCAGAAAAAGAAATTAAGTTGTGAGTGAAAGCATGAAAGCAGAGAATATTCAGCTTGGAAGGGGGAAGCCAAGGGCCGGACTTGGTTCGCAGAAGGAACTTAATGGTTGGGGGCCAAATTCAAGGGGAAAAGCTCAATGAGCAAGGCGGGAAAACTTCAAGCAAGGGCCTCATTCCTCCCTGTAATGCTGCAAAAAGATATCAAATCTATTTTCCCCATCACTTAGAGAGGCAATATAACATTTTTGTTAAACAACTGAGAATAGGCAACATAAAACTTTGATATGCACAACAAATGTTACAAATACATCTCATTGCTATTATCAGGGTCACAGACCTCAAAAGGACAGAGAGGCAGGGATAGAAGCCAAACCCTGGGCAGTAGTTCTATTGTTTCTCTTAAACATGTTGACAAACTGCTTACTTTTCATCGCTCTTTAACTATTTCAATTCATCAGCTCTGATCTGAATCATATTATAATCGCCAATATGGAGAAAATTGTTTGGAGGGGTACCAACAGCCAGCGCACTCGGCCTTGCGGAAGAGGCAGGGGCAGATGAAATGAAGAGTATTATGGTGGTAGTTAATGGATACTCTCTTCCAGATCTTGGCCAGGGACCACAGGTACCCTGCTCCAGTCTTAGAGGATGGAGGCCCGATCCTGTCTGTCTCCAATAAAGAAAGAGGAGGGAGACCGAAGCTGTGATAGCAGCATGCACAGTTTAATAAGAAAAATTTCCGAACCCTAGGGCTGGCGTGGATTCATTTGTGAAAGTTTTTGCAAACATGACTGTATCAGCAAGAATTGTATCGTGTTGTCTGGATGTTTAAAAACTGCTTTACAGTTGGATTTCTTGATAAGAGTGATTTAAAGAATTAACAGCTTCCTGCTGTTTGATTTCCTTTATTTTAGTACTTACTGCTTTTACACCAATAACGAAAATAGGCTGTATTTTGATACACTGAAAATTTCATATTAGTGTTCATATGACATAGTATAAGTATTAAAACAAATCTCCTAGTACATATTAGCACAATCTCTCCCACTGTCTTCCTGTTGATTCTCTTAAGGCCCCACATTCTCCACTATCACCCTCAATTCAGTCTTGATTTTCATAGTCTCAGCTCAGCTTCCCGTTCTGCTTCTAGCTGGGTCCTGGTTAAGACAAGAGGTTCCATGGTTTGTTCATAAATGATTCTCTTATTTTTGCGATATGAATAAGAACAGAAAATCAGTATGACTCTCACGTCAAATATTAAACTCTAACTTTGGTTCAGCAAGGACAACCTTGTTTAAACAACATTCACCTCATTGCAGATGCAGTTTAATCTTTTATTAAACCATAGAAATGATTCAATCTTTTATAGAAAAACCAAATCCATGTTATCGCAAAAGATTGTGACCTAGGCCAGTCAGAATAAAATATGGTCTCAAGAGACGGTAAAAATTGAGAGTGGGTTAAGTATGACCTTGTGACAGACCTAGATATGCAAGGAGTATCTGAAATGTCATTGAAGCTAGAAGATACTTTTAACAGGACTGCTCAAGCAGTGATGAAAATGTACCACATGGAAACAGTTCAGAAAGTGTTTTTTTTTTTTAAGTGCATTAAGAAAACAAGCCGTAAAATGTAAATACAATGTTAAAGTAAACAAACATCCCCTAAACAACCCCATGCAAACAAACAAGCCAAAAAAAAAAAAAAAAAAAAAAAAAAAGGAAGCATTTTAAATCGTTTTATTAGGAAATTCAACTCTGAGAGCTCAATAAAAATTTATATAAAAAACTGATTTCTGCAGATGTCTGAGTAGAGATGTTGGTTTTAGTCTTTTTAATTGCTACCATGGTACAGTTTAACTCTTGGGAATTGACATAGTAACAAATTGGGTAACAATGCCTAATGTGAGCAGAGTCACTGTCAGATCATACTATATATTTCATATTCTAAAGAGGACTACAGATACAATTAAAGTACAATTAGAGTAAATGCTGGGGAATGTCCTGAAATGACTAAATCATATAAGCACACAGATCCACTCAATGAGAAATTAAAAATGGTCACATTTCAGAACCTTTTACAAAAAGCTATGTAAAGGAGTGACCTAAAAATGACATTGTCAGACTTATTCTTCTACATGAGCAAGGAAAAAAAAAAGCGCATTTTCAGTGAAGTCTTCCCTTCTGATGTAGGAATAATCTGAAGCGTGGGTGTGACATGATACTTTTACCAGTATTCCCATTCCGCTGCGTTAGTATAAACATGCTGAGGTAATAGAGAACCACAGAGCAATGCTGTTTTGAAAATTAAAACATATAAAAATAATAGGACTTGTAGGACCATTTCTACCTAAAGAAAAGACTATCAAGTCATACAGCATTATCAAAAATCACAAACTAAAAACTGTAAGCAAATTTATCACGAAACTCTATAAGGACCTTTGTTTGATTTATATTTACTTGGAGAAAAAAAATGAAATAATCATATTGCTTTGTCTACTTTTAAGATAATCAGAGTAACTCAAGTAAGTATATAAATTTACAAGTATCTTAAATGTTTCTACTGAGCACTTCATTTGTTTTCTCATTTTTAAAATTCTTTTTGTGCCACTAGTGTTGAAAAGCTATTTAAAACATCTTAATGCATAATCACTCTGCGTGCTATCAGATTTAGTGGTAGTTTCAGAAATAAGCCAAATTTATATATGCAAGGTAAGCCTAATTAGTTAGGCTCACAAAAAATGTAATATCCGATTTTCAGAACCTAATGTGCTCAAGAAAGTATTTGTGCTTTTAAATTAGGAGAACAGCTCTGTATTTAATTAGGACTCATTTGAGGACGTAATCATTTTAATTTATTTGCACAAACACAGGACACTGTGCTCCATCAGCAGACAATGTTCTTCATTAACTAAAGTAGGGACTTTGTGCACAAGGGTAGACGATGTATTCCTACCTGTGATGCAAGATCCTAACTGCACACTGCTAGATTTCATTCTTCAGTTTATAGTTGCCATTCTGAGACATACACTGGTCAATATAAAACACTTTTAAGTAAGTACTCTGCCAATCCCTAGAAATCGATAATATTTAATGTTTTATTTTACCTATTTCCCGGTTATGAGTATTCAATTATTAAAGAACAAAGAAGCTTATTGAAATTCAAGTAACAGTAATGTATTAAAATTCAAACTTCAATAATTAGGACGGTGGTAGAGTTACAAATCAATTATGTCTTCACTGGTGGTGTAAAATATTAATAGCATAGATTGTACAGAGTGGTGAGAATAGGTTTTACTTAAGCTGTTTGAAGGTAACTACTGTACTCTTGACAAGCTAATGATATGATAGGTCATTCTTATCTACTATTCATAAAAGCACAGGATCCAAACAGGATCCAATTCTTCCTTAGGGCATTCACAACAAGCTTTGATATCTTGTTATTTCCATTCCTTCCCCCAAATCCTAAATACATCCTAAAAAAAAAAAAAAAAAAAAAAAAAAAAAAAAGGAATCTCTTGTTAACTACTGTAACTCTTTGAAAAGGTACTTGTGTTTTTGCCTAACTCTAAATGTTTATAAAATATATAAAATGCCCTGTGAGTGAGATATACATATAATATATACATACACACAATTATATATACACATTACCGTTATATGTTATATATACATATGTACACACATTATACACACACACACACACACACACACACACACACACATTATTATTTATTTCTCTCACAGGGCAAGTTAAGAAAATTGTCTGAGTCATTACGTCAGCTCTGCTCTCTCTATACAACAGGCAGATCTCCAATGTACTCCCGAATTCCCACAATTCTCCACAACTAGGTCACAGTACCCTATAGGAGAAGATTATAATTTCTAGAGTTCTCCTTTTGACCAAAGCTCTAAATTCTTCCATTTATATGGAAAAAAGTGTATAATTTCAGAAAGGAAAGTCTCCTTTTTTTTAATAGGTAATGAATACTATAAAAATAATGCATAATTTGATCTTCAGAGACAACTGTCCTTACTTAGCTTTGGAGTATATTTGAGTTGAGCAATGCCCATTAAAGCTTACAAATAAACTTGGAAAATGTCAATGCACAGTACTTAAATTCTACCTGAAATCATGTGATTAGATACATTTTAAAAAATTCTCTTTGACTGGATGCTTAGTACGTGAGGACATAATTAGCATTTTAAGATTTATAGAATTTTGCACCGTCTTTATAACTGTGTCTCGAGGAAGAATGCCTCTTCCTACAAGCTTAGTTACATAGCTCTTGGAAGCACCCACTGGTAAACGTGGTAATGTAACATGGTATTAAAAGTCATAAAATATACATTTATACCATACATACAAGCAGTTATCTGTCCTTGATATACATGCATGCATAAGTAACACATAACACAGTAGCTCCAGTGAGTGAACTTGCAGATCCATTCATGGTAAATTTATTATCCAGGAACAATCACTAAGTGAGCTTGAAGTTATACTGAGTGTGTCTAGTATTTAAAGGTACATGTATATGGTTTTGGTATAAAATGGGCCCTACCTAAAAGCAAGCTAGATGCTCTTCTTGTAACTTAACTCAAGAAAGAGAAATCTACTACAATGCCAGACAAAAAAGTTATTACACATAACTTTTTGAAACATAGTTTTTCAGTTTTTAAAGTATGCATAAATATGGCTACATATATTGCATTTTAAAGAGAAATTTTAAAAGGGAAATTTTGGCTATACAGGATTCACCAGGTAGCAAGCAAACTCTAGAACTAACCTTTTGCATTAAATACAATTCCACTATAAAGCTGTTTTGACAGGATAACCGTTATATATAAAATGGGTTTGCATGTAATCATTTTGGAATTCTATAAGACAAGTAACAATAGTCTCTCAATATTGATTTAAATTAAAAAGTATTATCTTGGGGCTGGGAGAGGCAAAAAAATAAAACAATTTGATCCATTTGGGGAATCTGGCTGAAGATTAATGGTCTAAGTCTAAGCAACAGTAGGGAAATTTAATTCCCAAAGCATCCTCTACACTGATCATTGGGAAAAACTGGATATTCACAGAAGGCACTCATTATATCTACTTTAACAATATTAGTGTGTATTTATAAAATGAACTGAAAAAGACAAAACAAATACTATCCACGGATTACAGTAAAAAATACTCTAAAACACTTTGGTATGTTTGAAAACCCAGCCCAAAACAAATTAGTGAGAGTATTCCTCTAGGAAATTAAGTATTAATGAAGAAAAACATATTTATATGATTCCAGAGATCAGAAATCATGATCTTACAAGAAATGTGTTATTATCTTAACCTCCTTTTATGAATGAAAACTAACTTTTAAAAAGAACCATTAACATCAGTTTGGTGTTTGTTTTTATTTGGTCTGAAAGTCTCCTTTTTTGAAAAAGGCAACATTTTCCTTCCCATAAGGCATCTTTCTCACAACTGTAAATGAGCCTGTCCAAAAATCAGAGGCAGTTTTCTTCAGAAAAAGCCAATGCTATATCAAAATACAAGATATAGCATTTTCTCATAGATTCTCTGGCAAGAGAACATGACATGAACCAAATAAATTTAATACAAGGAAATAATGTTGTAACTCAAAGTACATTGCTTTTCATTTAATCTCTTTTCTGATTCTATACTAAATGACTTCTATTCTTCAAGCTTAGAATAAATTATGAATACAAGTTAAAACCAGAACCTAATTAAAGAAAATGCGACACCGAAAACAGCAAAAGTCAACTCAACACAGTTAAAACTGGGAAAATTTTAATTACTAAGCATCAAATGCACTTTACATTGATAACTGCAGTACTGAAACTGTGACGTTTTAAATCTTTTTCTCAAGAAAGGTTAGTGATTTTCTTTTTCCTAGGAAACACAGAGATACGACTATGAACATTAATGCGTTCAGTCTAGGTCACTATGGTTTAGTTCATGCTAACCTCAACAGGTGCTCACACTTCCTGTCTACAATCAAGCAGACTAGGAACTTGCTGTCTTGTTGAATTTTAGCAAAAACTCCATGAGATAATTTAAAGGAATGTCAAATTTGTGCAGGGCAAACTCATAAAACTCTACATTGGGATCACTTTTTTGCTTCAAGTGCATCTAACTTGAGAATACAGGCAATTTTTCTTTCCCAATCCCTTGGAAAAACATTTCTGCAGTAAATCTTGTGTCTTCTTAACCAAGACTGGATTGCTTTTAAGAAAAGATTATCAGCCCTGTGGTCAGTTTCCCACAGTTGATAAAAATCTATCAAAAACATCTTAATATAATTTGCAAGAAAAAAATCTGTTTTTCAAAGGCTGCAGAACAGGAAAGAAATAGCACTTCTTATTGGTATAAGCACATACATTTAAAGCTAGTCATACTGCAAGTAAATCCAACATAGTATTCAAAAGTTCTATAAAAATGAACAAAAGATGTATGTTTACTTCCACTGCGCCAATAGTCAAACGTTAGATCTGCACGGGAGTTGCACTGTAGCAGTTTGCTGGTCCAATATAAGAGTTCAAAGTCCTTTTGGCTCAATGGTGTCCACATGCCAGATCAATTCAGTTCAAAAAACGGAAATTAGGGCAAAGACTCCATATAACAAAGCACAAGGATATGCTACTAGAAGTTGCTGTCCTTCCATGGCTAATGCAGAAATAAAAATTTTGGAAGCCGAAAAACTACACCAACCAATAATTCCAGCAGTGAGAATGATTCCTACCATTCCTCTGTAACCGACAAGGAAAAAGGGGAGGGGGGGGAGGCAGTAGATGAGATTAGATACGTAAGAATATAATAATAACCCAATTCTAAAGAAAAGCACTTTAAATCCACATTGTACACATCTGAAGAAACGGTCAAGATTTTGTTTTCAAATGCTAAAATAAAGTACCTCACAGTGAATTCAATAATGCTGAATCATTCACATCCACATTCAAAAAGCTCATTTATAATTACATTTTATGCCTGTCAGCACAGGAGCCAGGTTTCTCAATGTTGGCATCACTGACATTTGGGATGGATGCACTTTTGTTGTGAAGGGCTGTTCTGTACATTGTAAGGCTGGTCAGCAGAACCTGTGGCCTTCAACACTTTTGCATCCCCGAAAATTACTTCCAGACCCTGCCAAATGCCTCCTGAGAGCAAAACTGCTCTGGTTAGAAAATAGTGCATTCATAGAAAATCTCTTTTGTAAAATTCAAATATAAGGGTACCAATCTCAACAAATGAAGAGTCAAGGTTTCTACACTGAAAATCTGAAGCATTTTTACGCAAAGCAGAAACACTGTGAGGCCATCATCTTGCCAAATCTCTAGTATCGAAGAGCTGCTACACGCACTTCTCCTAAACCTCTCCTTTAACTTTCCAAGTGTAACAAAGCCCCATCACTGGTTGTGCCAGGCACTAGCCACAAGGAGGAGCCTGAACTGTTAATAAAGAAGCTGCATGCTGGCTGTGAGCAGAGAATTTATCAGCAGGAATTTACACCTTTCCTTCTCACCTTAGCTAAAACATTATTTAACAAATTACACACTTAAAGCTGCTTACATATACATCTGAGAACATGGTAGGCTACTAACAGCCTCTTGCCATAAAAAGAATGCTTCATTTTCACTTAAAAAGCTGCCAAGTAGACAGTATGTGTTTTATTATTCATTCACTTAACATATGCCCAACATCTTTAAGAAATAAGCTATATAGTCTAAAAAATGTGAGAGATGGAAAGTATAATTTTCACAACCTGATCTTTTCATGCAATATTTGACTTAACAATCACTACTGTTCAGTGCCAAGTAAACACAAAAGTAGTGAAATTCTTTATCACAGATAAAAGCAGAGATGGTAATAAAAAAATTTAAATTTATTCTTAGTTTCAGTATTTATCACTGAAATTAATGGAGGATAGTCCTCATTCACAACAGGAACTATCTCAAGTTTCATGAATTAGTGATTTATCTTAAACTGATGGTGAGGGAAATCCTACTACAGAGAACTGGTCAATCAACCCCCAAATAAAGATCAGTACTTACTGCAAAGAAAATATCACCGCAAAACTGGAAAGTAGGATCATGGGAAGAAGACAATATCCAAGGACACTTGCCACGCAACCAAATGAAACACCTGTCATACTCATTAAGTTTAGTAAACAGAACATTCCTAGACATCCAATTGCACTGATCCCATATACATAGCCAAACTGGATTTTGCCAGCCTATGGGTAAAGAAAAGATTATGGGTTAAAAGGGAAAAAAATAAATTATTTTTGGCTTTATTTCACCTAAAAAAGTACATGTAGAAAATATTCAATTTGTGAGCATCAAAATCTGTACACGTATCTATTCTTTAAGCAGAGTAGTAAAACAACGATTGGCTATTATACCTTTCTCAGGAAGTCTGAAGTACCTACTTCCCAATATACATATATTTGGTTTTTCATTTTCCAGGTAGTATATGAACAATTCAGCAAATAAAGACACAGAATCATACTACAATTACCTTTAAGCAGTAGACTTCTAAAAAGAAATCTGTCTGATTTGAAGCAAATAAACTATAGACCCAAGATGGAAAATCCTGCAGAATGTTTGGATAATAGCCAATATCCCTTGAAAGCAACAAATACCACCAAAAGGAGCTAACAGAAAGGAAGTCAGGATAAGCAGGACACCAGGGTTCTATGGGGAAGGGAGGAGAAAAGAAAAATGACGAACAAGCAAGAAAAATCTGATGGAAGATGTATTTTTCTTTCATTATTTTTCCAAACCATTGGTGGAGTTATACAGTCTTTTGACAAACCAAAAAACAAAACAAAACTGAATTATGCTCTTGTAAAAGACATTACTGAACAGACTTAAAACAGCAATGTGTTAGGGGCACCTGGATGGCTCAGTCAGTAAAGTGTCTGACTCTCAATCTCAGATCAGGTCATGATCTCACAGTTTGTGAGATGGAGCCCCGGGCTGGGCTCTGGGCTGACAGTGCGGATCCTACTTGGGATTCTCTCTCTCCCCTATTACGTACACATGCATTCTCTCTCTCTCTCAAAATAAGTAAATAAACCTAAAAAAGTATTTCCAAATATATTACATTTATTATCAACGGAGAAGTGATGAATGGGTATAATTTCAAGCAACTCAATACCATTCAAAACACATGAAAGATCTGATGTATAAACAGTCTCAAAAATGGCTCTTGGCCAGGGGCGCCTGGGTGGCGCAGTCGGTTAAGCGTCCGACTTCAGCCAGGTCACGATCTCACAGTCCGTGAGTTCGAGCCCCGCGTTGGGCTCTGGGCTGATGGCTCAGAGCCTGGAGCCTGTTTCCGATTCTGTGTCTCCCTCTCTCTCTGCCCCTCCCTCATTCATGCTCTGTCTCTCTCTGTCCCAAAAATAAATAAACGTTGAAAAAAAAAATTAAAAAAAAAAAAAAATGGCTCTTGGCCATTAAAGAATGTTGTTTAATCTCATACTGAGAGTTTAAACTAAAATCTTACCAGTAACAATGTGGCTCCAAAGGCAAGGCAAAAAACCATGGGTCCTGCCAAATCAGTCTCATTCATGATGCTGCCATCTGCTACTTTTAATGGATGTAACACTGTTAGTGTTTTTTGCCAGATGTGGTCAAAATTGATACCTAATTCTAAAGGAAGAGAAAATAAGAAAGTCAATTAGGATTTGTTGATATATCTTTAGTTTACCAGAATCTATGTTGGAACAGGAGACAGAATGAAACACTCAGCAATATGAGACATTATTTTGGGGAGTCCTCAATACCAGTCTTCTCTGACTGTGGTGCTTACTCCACAAAAGTCTTATTTCTGCTTTGGTGATGGAAAAAGTGTTTGGATGTGACAAAACAAGACATTCTCAGCTACGACTGCATAAAAAGGATATATGGACAGGGTTCGGAGTAAGGGGTTCTTCACCTGGGGCTTCAGCAATACCTGGAGATGCTATGAAATTGTATATAAAACTATGTTTCTATGCACAGGTGTGCATTTTTCTGAGAAGAGTATTTTTTTGATTCATAGTTTTCGTTAGACTTTCAAAGGGTATCCGACACCCCCCACCCCCCAGCCCAAAATGTTCAGAAGAAGTGCTTTATGGGTTTTGGAACAGAATTTGAAAATCACCGTATTTTTCAATGATGTTACTAGTTTTGCCAACTTCTTCCATATAGAATAATCACTACCATGCTATTTCCTTCCATTTCTTCCACTGACAGAATTGAATCAATAATGTGAAGTAAAAGTCAATGTTCACATATTGACCTAATAATCACTTTATAAAGATCTATTAAAAATCTGGTCCCTTATGGTTCAGTGTGATTTCATATACACTCTGTTCAAAATGGGTTACTTAGTAGAAAACATTTTTTCTGGAACATTATTCTCTCAAAGGAAGGGATAACTTCTCCAAACTGATTTATTTTCACTAACCAGCTGGACACTACAGAGTACTCTGCAACGAATCCTACCTTCTAATAAAGGTGGCTCATCCTCAAAGTTGTTTCCATAGAATGGCTGAGGTGTTGTTGGAGTGTATGCCTGAGTTGGCTGGAAAATCTGCCCGGTGTATGGCTGTTGTGGCTGCATCATGTCTGGAGGGACAAATCGGCCTTGCTGCGAATAGTCATAGCCAGCATACTGCCTGTAAATCAAAGTTCCATTTCTGAGAATTACGTCAACAGTGGATATCCCTGAGAGCGAGAGAGTCACAGTCACACAGCTCCTAGGATAGCCACTTGGCCAGTTTTCATAAATGGTGTTGAAATGATTACTAGGATCAATATGATTATCTCCAATGGTAAGTTGTCAGTGTTTTTCAGAGAATCTACTTGATGATGCCAACACTCACTTCTACAGTGCTTAAGAATTTTATAAACTATGAAACTCTTAAAGATTAGGTGGTCAAAAAATGAAACCTTAGAAATCTTATCTATTTCTCCCCCTCTAGTAGTATATATAATATAAAGATAGCTGAGGAATAAAATTTATACCTAAGACTATGGATGAAAACTGAACATGATAGACTTTGTACTACAAGTTATGTAATTTCCCACTGTGGTTTGAATCTCCATTGAATGTTCAATCATTCTTCTTTACTCTTTGTAGTATGTTATTTTTTTCCAAGTGTGTAAATCTCTTTAAGAACCATCAATTTCAAACACAGAATGGAAAAATTCAAGCCTCTTTCTCAAAAGCTTTCTGAATATAACAAAACATTATTAGTATTACCTTGCATTTTTTTTTTTTAATTTTTTTTTCAACGTTTTTTTTAATTTATTTTTGGGACAGAAAGAGACAGAGCATGAACGGGGGAGGGGCAGAGAGAGAGGGAGACACAGAATCGGAAACAGGCTCCAGGCTCCGAGCCATCAGCTCAGAGCCTGACGCGGGGCTCGAACTCGCAGACTGCGAGATCGTGACCTGGCTGAGACTGCGAGATCGTGACCTGGCTGAAGTCGGACGCTTAACCGACTGCGCCACCCAGGCGCCCATATTACCTTGCATTTTAATAGCACTTTCAATTTTTCAAAGTAGATATACGCTTACTGTCTCATTTGATATGTGCTGTAGTAAAATCCCGCACTGTAGAAAAAGAGGTTTTACCATGGCTATTTTAGTGATTAAAAAAACACAAAAAAACAACAGTGAACAGAAGGACATTGAAGCAGTATCTTTAAAAACTTGTTTTACCATGTTCTGGGGAAAAATATGACTTACCCATCAATGGGACTAATCTAAATACAAAGTAAGAAATACAGAAGTAAAATAATTATTTTAAAAAGAATGGAGAAAGCTTAAAGATCCTTTAATTACCTTTTAAAATTCTATAGTTTCCTTTTGATAAATATAAGACTAATGACTGCCATGAATATTACTTGAGATTTTAAAATTAAATCTTAAATTAACTGAACATCTTGATTAAAAGCAAATCTGAAGCGCCTGGTTGGCTCACTAAGTTAAGAGTCTGACTCTTGATTTTGGCTCAGGTCATGAACTCATGGTTTGTGAGATTGAGCCCCACAACTGGCTCTGCTTTGAGAGAGTGGAGCCTGCTTGGGATTCTCTCTTCCCCTCTCTCTTTCTCTCTCTAAATAAATAAGCAAACATTTAAAAAATAAAATAAAAGCAAATCCAAATAATGGGAAAGTTTCAACTATACATAATCCTCTGGAGAGTCCAATGGGACTCTCATGATTTATTTACCACTCTAGTCCAATCCAAGCTTGAAAAAAACGTTATTTGTTTTCTGGCTATATAGTAATATAGAATTCGATGAAGCATTATTTTTTTTTAATTTTTAACTTTTATTTATTTTGAGGGAGAGGAAAAGAGAGAGAGAGCACACATATAAGCAGGGGAGGGACAGAGGGAGAGGGAGAAAGAGAATCCCAAGCAAGCTCTGTGCTGTCAGTGCAGAGTCCAACACAGGGCTCGAACTCACAAACTGCGAGATCATGACCTGAGCTGAAATCAAGAGCTGGATGCTTAACTGACTGAGCCACCCAGGTGTCCCAAAGCATTATTTTAACAGCAAACAATAAAAAACAAAATAAACAGTTATGAGTAAATATCCTGTAATATGGCATAAATTACTATGCGCTTGTTAAAAAAAATGAAGTACTTCTATGTGAATAAGGAACGATAATCAAAAAATACTTAGTGGGCAGAAACAAAAAAACCCAATGTTCAGAATAGTATATGCCATATGCACCCACTCTGATTGTAGTTTTTAGAATACATCTGTATCTATATATTTGAATATGTGTATTTTATACACATATACATACATTACCTATAATTATATAGGCTTAAGAATAATGTAACATTTAATATAACACACATAATTATATAGGTAAAGGGACTTGGAAGCAAGGGGAAGTGGAAGACTTAATTTTCATATTAAAAACTTCTGCATCTTTAAAACTGTTGTACATTTATTATTTATCAAAATTCATTCATTCTAAAATATGTTATAGGTAACATATAGGCACATATTAGCTACTGAAAATTTACAAAAATACAAGTCACCTATCTGAATGTTACTTTGTAAAGCACAGTTTTAAGTGTTTAATGTGCATTATATCATATTACGTCACTATAACTTTAGGAGGTTGCTTTTAACATCCTTCCCATTATAAAGATGTATAAACTAATATTTAGGTTAAAATGATTTGCCTATGGTGGTGCCAAGATTCAAAACTAGACTTTTTGACTCCGGGGACCAACTTTTAACAATGATAATAATAATCACCCCCAAATCCTAATTTATGGAGATAGCTATAATATCTTTTTTTCCCATATATGTCTTTTTCCATTTTAGTATGAAATATGTTGATTTCTATTTACTTAAACATACACACACATATCCCACAGGATTAGCAGGTTGAACTGAATTAGGGGAAGAATTCACATTTTCTGATTTAGTACAATATGCTATTATGTTGATCTCTGTTAGAATGTATCATAAATCTAAAACTGGGTTTATGAAACAGCTAGAAAAGCTCCATATGGAGGCTGATACAATCTGCATCAACAGAATGTATTTTATTCTCTCTCACACAGAAAGACACACACAGAGACAGAGAGAAAGAGAGAGAGAGAATATGAATGTCTATGCAATAATAAAAAAAAAAAAAGAATGGTACAGACCAGTGGTTCTCAAACTCTTGTCCTTAGGATCCCCTTTCACTTTCAAAATTTATTACTGGGAAGCCCAAATATTTTTTATTCCTGTGGGATGTATCTGTCAATATTTATCATATTAGAAATTAAAACTGAGAAATTTTTAAAATATTTAATGGGGCGCTTGGGTAGCTCAGTTGGTTAAGCATCTGACTTTGGCTCAGGTCATGATCTCATGGCTTGTGGGTTCAAGCCCCATGTCGGGGTCTGGGCTGACAGCTTGGAGCATGAAGCCTGCTTTGGATTCTGTGTCTCCCTCTCTCTCTGACCCTACCTTGCTTGCACTCTGTCTCTCTCTCTCTCTCAAAGATATATAAACATTAAAAAAAATTAAATATTTATTAGTTCATTTAAAGTAACAATAAACTTTTCATATATTAGCATAAAATTTTAATGAAAGAATTACTTTAAAAAATTACTGAGAAAAGTGGCACTGTATCATATTTTTGACAATCTTGGTCCTGTCTGGTTTAACAGAAGACAGCTAAAAATTCTTGTATCTGCTTCTGTTGTCAGTTTGTGGTAATATATTGTTTTAGTCGAAGTATCTGAAGAAAATGTAGCGAGGCAGACAAGTAGCTGGAAAATTATTTAACAACCTTTTCAGATTATCATGGATATTCTTTTCATTCTGCATCAAAATTCAAAGCAAGATGGTAGTTTTTTAAACTTAAGTTGCAACAGAGAAGATGGAACAACTACTAATAAACATCCTTCTTAAATTTATTTGAGAGAGAGACAAAGAGTGTGTGCATACACACACACATGCAAGGAGGGGCAGAGAGAGAAACCCAAGCAGGTTCCACACTGTCAGCAGGGCCCAAGGTGGGGCCTGAACTCACAAACCGTGAGATCATGACCTGAGCCAAAATCAAGAGTCAGATGCCCAACCAACTGAACCACCCAGGTGCTCCACTGATAAACTTTTTATACTGTTTCACAGAATACAGTAATGTGCTTTGCACTTTGGATGGACCCTTTCTTTACTCATTTTTGATTCTGTAACCTTCACTGATGATTTAGAAAATATTAGTATGAGTTATACCTATCTCCCAAATATTAACATATTTAATATAAAAACATATATATGAAGGGTAAGTATAAGAACATCACATTTGTTAATATGACCAGTGATTTCATCAGAAAAATGGTTATTACTAGGAAGCTGACAGTTATGGACAGTATGGGGCTCAACTATTTCATCTTCAAGAAAACATCTACCCAGTACTGAAGTCTAAATAACCATAGTTTGTCAGATGTTCTTTCCAATAGAAATGGTTTTCAAGAAAAAGCAGCTACTTCAGCCTGCGATTCCGAATGCACAGGGTCTTTTCCTAACCACTGCTCTCCAGTACACACCAGAAGTGCTTTAGGACCTTTTCCCATTTCGTCATGCAGCACAGTTCTACTCTGTGTGCACTGAAGGGTCAGAATTTAATAACACGGTAATTTTTACTGCTTCATCAAGGGCATCCTTATATAAAAGTGGTTCCCCCCTACACCCCAGCAAGTGTGTGGCAATAAAGAATATAATGATTACTGGAACGATTTGATGCCCTTGTCTTGATTCACATTCAGGTACTAGCAATTTTATCAACCACTGTTTTTAAAACATGAGTACAAATGTCAACACACCTAAAAAGGTATATAATGTCTTAGTACTGTTATAAAAATAGTCTTGCCCTTACAGACTCCTTGAAAGGTCTCAACAACCCTCTAGGGTCTGAAGGCCACACTTTCAAATGGTGATGTAAGACTCATAAATGTCATGTAACGAAGAGAAATAGGCCCCAAGAAAACGAGTGGTTCAAAAGTGGTGTCTTCATTCCTTCTTTAAGATGCAAGAAAGACAACGCCATGAAATTTTACAGTTTTCCTGTTCTGGTAGGACCTGGTCGGGACAAATTCCTGACTTGCTCCTGCTGGTTTTAAACTAGAACACAGTATGGTAAATACGATCTGTACTGACTAAATCAACACTGTATTCCATAAAGATATTTATCAGTTAAATCAAAAATGAAAAAATACTAGCTTTAAATACTTTAAAAATATGTAATTGGTATTTTATAGGCATATCTAACATACAATGTGGGACCTGTCCAATATGACAGTCATAAAGCTCAATAGATTAAGATCAAAGGGCCTTTCACTTGTTGCTGTTGTTGTTGTTATATGAACATATAAATGATACTTATAAACGAAACCCAATTGTTACTGCTAATACATTAAGCTTTCTGTTTTCCTAGGCTTCATCTATAAACTCCCATTTGTTAATTGCAATAGTGGGTATGCAAGTACCTGGAATAAAACTTCATTACACTGAAACAATGCTTACTGGTACACGATTTGATTGTAATGGAATTGAGAATAGTTAGCAACAGAATATGTAAACCACCTCCCTGCAGAAAACTGAAAGGAGAAGATGTTAACTGGAATGAAAAGATAAGCCACACCTTTAAGTGATGCAAACACGACAGGGCAGGAAAGAAAGGCAGAGATAAATACACCTAGGAGGCTGTAATCCAAATGTCATAGTTCTGTTGAATGCAAACACCATTTAGCTAAAAACAGGCCCACATACAGAGGCAGGTTTTCCAAAGCCCTGTGGCTGCACTCTGACCAATCTTTCATTGATTTTCCCTCTTGTACACTGATTAAAAAACAAAACAAAACAACAAAACACGTTTTTAAGTAAATAAAGGAATAGATATTTCTCAACATGATGTTTCCAATTCTGCTCATTGAAGGAGTCCTGGACCACCCAAACAAGGTTAATCCACCCTGGTATACTTAATGCCTGATGACATTACTTTCAAACTTCTAAGAAACTAAGAATATGATGTCCTAGAGATTGGTAGAATGCCTCAGCTAATGTATTTCTACCACTAACACCAAAGCCTATTTAAAAAGCAGGGTGTTTTGTTCTGTTTTGTTCTTAAAAGTTCAGGGCTGAAAGGTTTTGAGATCCCTCTTCCGTCTGCAGCTGGCAACTTGTGTGTACTGAGCACAAGGTTTTGGTAAGAAGAGTAATAAAAATGATTATCACTTGATATATAAAATCACCTGATGATTCACAACAGGCAGCTTACACTGCTAAACAGTGTCACTAAGCACTCTGAGTTAACAGTGACACGGTCTGAAATCTGGACTGATTTAACTTCTAAACTAGCCATCACAAGATTTTAAAATTTTAACTGGTTCTGTGGACTAAATAGCCTAGGTATCTTCTAGGTCCTTCAAGCTCCTACCCATATCTTAAATGATGTAGAAATACTATTACGAGAAAATAGTTCTTTAACAATCAACTTTTGCACTCGGGCCCACCCGAAGATTTTGCAGAAGGCACCGAACTCTAACTAGGGCAATCCCTTCACGCCAAAACCAGTGTCATAGATCTTTCCAGAGGAAGGAAGATTATGAAAAATCACCTTCCTGACAAGGGAATGTTGCCACATTCAGTTTTAGGCAATACCAAACATTCAGGATACATGCTTTCACTTTAATCTTGACTAAATAAATGGTCAAAGTTGACAAGTTACTTGCTATAGGGTCCTCCACTTCCTCCATAATCATAGGACTGCTGTGAATGGTCATCGATGCTGTAACTTGTCTGGTAGAAATCCGTGTTTAAGTTATCAAAGCCTGACATTGCAAATGATCTGCAAGAGAAGAAGAATGGCAAATACTGTTTATACCCAAGATCCTACTGAATTCGTTTCGATACTAGGCAAAAAGCCTCAGAAGGCAGTAAATTATTTCTTCTGGAATTTGAGGCACCAGCATTTGGACGATAGGTCTGGGTGGCAGTTACAAAGGAAACGTCTAATCTCGAAATCACGAGCTGGGAAGACACCTCCATTACAAGGAGCCAGTATGCCCAGGCTCCTTGTCATTAAATTGTTATTACAATTGTCACTATAACTAGGGGAAGGGTCGTGGGAGAACTGGTTCCTTGGAGGTCTAAAAACAATAAAGACGATTCCTCACCTCGGGGGAAGGGCTTTGCCGCTGACAATGCGACTGCCTCTTTGCAAAATAAGGCCTGAGCCTGCCGCGACGGTGCAGACTCCTAGAAAGCCACGCTTGAGGTATAGGGGACGCGTCAAAGCAAGGACCTGAAAGGGAGCGAGGGTCTGAGCGAAAGGACCGGAACGCTGCGCCGAAAGGTGGCAACAAGCCGCGCTGCACTGGACTGCGGAGAAGCAGAACAGTGTGCCACAAGCTGAAACACTCACCAAATGGAGAAGCGGCGGCAGCGGCTCCGGCAAACCCCCAAAACCCCCAAACACCGCTTAGGACCCTGAACTGGCTCCGTTGCTACGTGTCACAAGGCCAAAGAACCGCTTCCGGGGCACGCCCGCTCGCGCAGGCGTGTTGGTAGACTTTGCGCCTCTCTTGGGTCGGATGTGGGGCGGGCCGGGGAAGGGGAAACCTGATGCGGAGCATGCGCAGTGTCGATTGATCAGTCTATTTGCGGGCCAACGAGAAGGGAAATACTTCCGGAAGCCTGGTTACCGACAGAGGCAGAAAGGCGCAAGCGCAGAAATTTGTTAGTTACAGTCTGGAGGAAGAATTCCTCAATAGACCGGAGACCTAGAGGAGGGTTTGCAAATGCTGTTAATGAGCGGACGGAGCCGGTCTCCTGTCCACAAACCACAGAACGCCGGTCTCTGTGGACTTAGTGTAATTCAGACAGTGTTACAGAGTTTAGGTGTATTATTTAATCCTTACACCCTAATGAGATGATCACGCTATTACTCTCCTTTTGTAAGTGAGGCTGTCAAATGTTCATTTAGTAACATTGAATGCAGTGTTGCATGACATCTCACCTAGTTGTGCCGTTGGAGATGCTATGATGAATGCAAGCTAAATGGTGCTGCTCACCTGGGATTGGTTGGGGTGGGGTTAACACATAAATATATGTAAAATGGTTACTAATATTGTTAAGTCCTCTATAATTTTTTGAAAGAGTGTAATATTCATCTGGGACAGAAAATCTGGAAAGGCACTTTGAGAAGGGAATGATCAAAAGGAGTTAAAGAAAAGTGAAAAGGGGAACAGAAGGGCATGAATATTTCAGGCAGTAAAAATAGTGTGTGCAAGGCTTAGGGTTAAGGAAAACATGGTGTGAGGAAAGGTGTAACCTTTGCACTATTAACATTTTAATCTAAATGATATTTGTGGGGCAGAGGGGACAGGGGATGCTGCCTTGTGCACTGTAGAATGTTTGGCAACATCCCTGAACTTTATCAGCTATATGCAAATAGTACGACTCCCATCCCCACTGCCACCTTGTGACAACTAAAAATGTCTCTTGGATAACATCAGAGTTTGGAAATCACTGGTCTAAATGAACCCAGGATGATTAGGCAAATGAGGAAAGCCACATAGAAGTTGAGACTGGAGCTAAAGGCCAGGATCAGGGATAGAGTGTCTTGTGGGATTCTGGTACTGGTTCTAAAAGAAAAGGGGAACCACTGAAGGTTGTGAACTGAAGAGTGGCATAATTTGATTCTTTTATTTTGATTGCTCTGGCTTCTGTGTGAAATCACTTTCTGTAAGTAAAGGAATTCTAACTCCAAATGCCGTGGTGTTAACCAATGAGCAGAACTGTCTTCAGAGCTTATAGCATTAAAATTTATACCACAAGCCCTTACATTATATGCTGGCCCCCAAATCCCATGATCTTTACAAAGGAAACCAGGCCTTTTCTCTGGGACCAGTTTCCAAAGGAATCATAAAATTTCAGTAGTTAAAAGGTTTTTTTTTTTCAATATGCAAACTATATTGAAACAAATAAAAACAAACAAAAAAACCTCCACACACCCCTCCAAAGGAAAGAGTTATAGGAAAAGGACAAAACTGAAAAACCAAAGAATGTACTCATGAGATGAATGGAAGCTATCCTTTAAAGTATCAGAAAATATCTGAAATAGCTCACCAAATTTTTTAATTTACCAACTTTTGTAAATAACTTTATAATTTTTTGATGTAGTTACCATCTGTACAACTCTTGGAAGGATGACCAGTTAGCCTAATTGACTGAAGACAGCCATGTTGTCCCGTTTTATGGCTGTATTTTACAGCATAATTATTAATATTCTCCTTTTTTTCCTATCAAAAATATCCCAGTTTGGTTGACAAATTATTTGGTTATACTCTCTAAGCTATATTATCTATGAAGCTGAGTTTCTGGTTATCCACTGTATGCAATAATTTATTATTTCATCTACTTAATGTTCTTATGGTTGAAAGAAAATTCTAGTCTCTTTTGTTTCTTCTGATATTTCTATTTCTTCCTATCCAAAGGAGAAATTACTCTCAAATTTAAATAAAATGTAAGAATATGAGTGTTCAATATTACCTGTTTAGGCATGAATTGTTAGATATAGATGTTATTCAAATTCTGCTTCTGTCTGTAAAAGCAATGACCATATTTACTAGATTTTCTTTCTTCTCTAACCCTTGCCCAAATTGATAAGACAAGGAAAAAAGTAGAGTTACACGATTAAATCTTCCACAATTGTTTGTTTGACTTTGAAGTATAAACCAAGATATCCTGCAGAAACCCCTTGGGGATTTTGAGAATAGCAGTCAATTTTGTGGCTAGTCAGGTAGACCTTTCTTTTTGGAAAACAATTTTTTTTTCTTTTGGTATTGCATCCCCCACACCTCAGGATAGGTTCCAGAGAGTTATTTTAAAGGAAACTGAAGTACATGGTAAATGTGCTGACTTCTGTTAAATAACTGAGTTGTGTTCATTAGGAGTAGAAAGCCTTAAATAGGTTAAGAGTCAATAGAACATGAAGTGGGCTTGTAACAGCTGCCCAGTCTTCCCTGGGACCTAGCATGTCAGTTACCAAACCAGTGACAATCAATCAATAAATCAATAAATAGAAAAAGAAATAATATTTTAATCATGAGTGATACCTTCTAATTTAGTTTGACAACTATGCTGGTATACACACTAACACTTTAATGGATTTCACAAACACACACAAAAAACTTCCATTTTTTTGGAATGGCCGTGAAATTGTCCTTAGATTTTAGATGTGCCTTATTTCCTCCCTGTTTTTTTTTTCATTTGATTGATTGATTGATTGATTGATATTTAATCCAAGGTGGTTAACGTATCATTAATATGGTTTCAGGAGTAGAATTTAGTGACTCCTTACATATAACACCCTGGTGCTAATCCCAACAAGTGCCCTCCATAATGCCCATCACCCATTTAGCCTACCCCACCACCCAACACCCCACCAGCAACTCTCAGTTTATTGTCTGTATTTAAGAGTGTCTTATAGTTTCCTCATTCTATGTTTTTATCTTACTTTCTTCCCTCTCTGTTTTCTAGTAAATATGTTGTGGGGAATTGTGCCAGAAAAATCTGGCTTGAAGATGGGTAGTTCCCCCTACTTTTAGCTGTTTCCACAAGCACCTAATGAGGTGGAGATTCGGCAGCTGTGACCTTAACCATGTCAAATTCTACAATGAAACCTGATAATTATGGTAAAAACTAATGTAAATACCTAAGATCTGTTTCCACTATTCCTGAATATTAATGACCTAACTCCATATCCCAAATACAATAATTATATTTCCTCCAAATTATCCTTAGAAAAAGATATCCCTTATAAAAGAGTTTCTCATCAGATTCTGCTCCTGTTATTTCAATTATTTTACTTTGAACAATACATTACTGTCTTGGGAAGATAGATTTGCCTGGAACAACATGGAATGCTTTTAGACAAAATGGGTCTTTAAAGGCAAAGAAATTTAACCCTAACTTAGCAATTATTCTTGGGATTTTGACTTGAAGATTCTAAGTTCCTCGTGTTGCTAAAAAAAAAAAAAAAAAAAGGCTTTGAAAGATAATTTTTAAAACAATGCTGTAAGTATTTTTATTGTGGAGATCAGACACCTTCTTAAATAGCAAATAAAAACATTTCTAATATCAGGTGAATGGATATTGTGGTTTGGAATAAGAATTTCGGTGGAAATACCAGAAGTTCTGTATCTCAAGCAACTTAGAAGGGGAGATGAGCTACTGTATATGTGCCACCAACGCGAGTACTAGAAGGGGAGATACTGGAAAACAACATCAGAGGGCCGGGCTCTGGTGATGGCAGAGCCCCACATGCCAAAGGTGCAAGTGAAACACTTGAAAAAAATTTATAAGAGCTAATGTGCCAGGCACTGCTCTAAGCCCTTCACACCTTTATACTCAATTATTTTTCCCAGCAACCCGGTAAGGTAGATACCATATACTTGACATATGATGACACTGAGAACAGAGTGGTTAAATACTTTGTCAAACGTCATAAGGTAAGAAGTAGTAGACTTGAGATCTGAATCCAGGCTGGCTGCAGAGTCCTTGTGCTAAACCTCTAGACTGTATTGTTGTGTTATGTAACATGAACATAACCAAGGCAATATATCTAATGAATATGCTACTTTACCTAATATGTAATTATATATATATGTGCATATATGTATGATATGTATATGTATATATACACTAAAATTGCAATTATTTGATAGTTGTATCTACAGCCCCAAATGTGTATATAGTCAGATTGATAAAAAATATTTTTTTGTAATCTACTCAGTGGGCATGTGACAAATCACCTAATGTTCAAGTTTACCTTATATTAGTCATGTAATTTAATTAGTAATGTATAGGGGTTAAGGATGCACGTCTGGAGCCAGACTGCCTGGGTTTAGATCCTCTACCACTGACTAGCCATGAAGTTACTGAAATCTTTTGCCTTACTTTTCTCCTGTGTAAGAGCAAGATAATGATGATATTCATCTTCTGTGCTGGCTACAAGGATTGTGTGGAGTAATGCATGTAAATATCAATGCCTAAATACTAAGTACTCAATGAATGTTTGGACTAATTGTCATTGCTGCATCTATACCTCTACAGAACCAATATGATATTGTCAGCAACCAAAATGGACTTCTAAAAACTGCAATGATTGGGTTTGAACAAACTGTTTCTACAATCAGTCATACACATTCACTCTGATGCTTCCCTGAAGGTTCTGTATTATTTTATAATTTGTATTTTGATCCTATGGACTGTATTAAAAATATGCTTTTGCTGGGGCATCTGGGTGGCTCAATGAGTTAACGTCCAACTTCAGCTC